GGGGGTGTTGGGCGGGGCAGGAATTTTTGGAACAGGGCACACACACACACACACACACACACACACACACACACACACACACACATGCGCGCAGCTGGTCAATGAAGCATGTGTCTCCTGTGTGTTTTTCTGCATGTGTGTGTCTTGGTGTTGCCGCTGTGTGTGACGTGACGTTGACTGTGTCTCTGGGTGATCTTCTCTGTGTGAACGACACAGTCGTGTGCCCTGGTGTTCTAGCCATGGATGGTGGCTAGTGCTGGTGTTCATGACACACACGTGTGCACGGGTGCTCTAGCTACAGTTGGTGGGTAGTGCTTGTGTAAATGTCACGCACACATGTGCACAGTTGTTCTAGCCACGTGTGGTGGCTAGTCTGCATGTGCCCTGCGTTTTAAATGACGGAAAGGGCCAGGCCCAAAGTCACGGAGCTAGGGGCAGACCCCAGAGGTCCTGGCTGCCAGCCTCCCTCCCCCTCCACAGGGGTGCAGAGGAGTGAGGGGAATAGGGGAGGGATTTCTGCAGTATGGGAGGCATGGGGGGGGCAGGTGTTGGGCACGCAGGCTGAAGGAGTTGGGGTTGGGGGTAGAATCCTGTGGTGGGGTTGATGCTTGGTGTAAGAGGGTTGTGTATGCAAGTGAGTGTGTGCGCATGTGCGAGTGTGCTTGTGTGAGCACGAGTGGGTGCACATGCGTGAGTGTGCACAGGCGTGTGCATGTGCACACGTGTGTGCGTGTGAGTGTGTGCATGTGTGTGTGTGCATATGCATACGTCACGTGCAGGTGAGCGTGTGCACAAGTGAGTGTGCACACTTGTGTGAGCGTGCGTGTGTGTGTATGCACGTGTGGCTGGTTTGGCTCTTCCACCCGGTGGCACAAACTGTCCCTGTCCCTCGCCCGTCTCCTGGCCCATCCCCTGCTGACCTGGCTCCTCCATTTCTCTCCCACCCCCAGGTCAGCTGGCTCCCGCCCGGAGACGGCGGGCCCCGCCCATGGAATCGCCCGTGGGCCTGCCAGTACGGGAGCCCTCACCCCTCGACCCGCTCGGCCTCCAGCCCCGCGCTCGGGGCTGAAGCTGTGGAAGGAGACACCTGCTTCAGAAAGATCTGTGCTCTGGGAGGGGAGCAGGGGCTAGGGGTTAGAACAGGGGAGGGCGGCTGTCAGCCCGGATTCCGTCTCCTACTCCGGGAGGCGCGTGGGGTCCAGGCAGAGTCCTGGGACCCGGACTCCACTACTGGCTCTACGCCCGCGCCTTCATCTGTAACACCACCAACATCTCCAGCGAGGAGATGCCCCACAAGGACAAGAAGGACCCGGGGGGTCTCACCCATTCCGGCCTCTGGAGGATATGCTGCTTGGAAGGTACCTCCCTTGGGGGATCCCGTGCCGGGCACTGCCGTGGGGAAGCTCGCAGCTTCACCATCCCGGGTGGAGGCACCTCTACGCCCGCGCCTTCATCTGTAACACCACCAACATCTCCAGCGAGGAGATGCCCCACAAGGACAAGAAGGACCCGGGGGGTCTCACCCATTCCGGCCTCTGGAGGATATGCTGCTTGGAAGGTACCTCCCTTGGGGGATCCCGTGCCGGGCACTGCCGTGGGGAAGCTCGCAGCTTCACCATCCCGGGTGGAGGCACTGCTGTGGGGAAGCTCGCAGCATCAGAGCGCCTCTCTGGGTACCGCTGTGGGAAAGCTCACAGCATCGGAGCACCCAGCTGGGCACCACGGTGGGGAAACTGACAGCATCTGGGGCACTGCTGTGGGGAAGCTCGCAGCTTCACCATCCCGGGTGGAGGCACTGCTGTGGGGAAGCTCGCAGCATCAGAGCGCCTCTCTGGGTACCGCTGTGGGAAAGCTCACAGCTTCGGAGCACCCAGCTGGGCACCACCACAGTGGGGAAATTGACAGCATCTGAGGCACTGCTGTGGGGAAGCTTGCAGCATCAGAGCGCCTATCTGGGTACTGCTGTGGGAAAGTTCTCAGCATTGATGTCCCTGGCTGGGGCACTGCTGTGGGGAAGCTCACAGCATCGGAGCACTCAGCTGGGCACTATGGTGGAGAAACTGACAGCATCTGGGGCACTGCTGTGGGGAAGGACGCAGCATTGGAGCACCCAGTTGGGCACCACGGCAGGGATGCCCCCCCAGGCTGGCATCCCTCTTGGTCTGAGCGCGATACTGAGCGGGAGACAGGCCCCGGACTCTGATTTCTCCATCTCCGTTGCAGGCCTAAAGAGGGGCGTGTGCGTGAAAATTAACCATTTCCCCGAGGACACGGATTACGATCACGACAGTGCGGAGTACCTCCTGCGTACGTATCCATCAGGCTCCCCAGCTGGCAGGCCCCGTCATGGCCTTGTGCCATGCTTGGGCACTTGGCGCTGGAGTGGAGATCCTACTTAGCTTGCCACATGCCATCTTCCTGGGGGCTGAAATGGCAGAGGGGACCCAGGGATATCTCAGTTTGGAGCTTTCTGGGGGGCTGTAATACTGCGAGGAGGGGGGGATCTCAGCCTTGGGGCTGCTGACAGCTGTAATACAAGTGGGAAGGTGACTTGGGGTATGTCTACACTGCATCCCTAGTTCGAACTAGGGTGGTAATGTAGACATACCCTAACTGAGCTTTGTGCCCACCTCTAGGTAAGGTTCCCGTTCTAAGCCCCTTTTTTAAATGTTGTTCCCATTCTAGGGTTAAATACCCCAGGCCCCATCTGTGCTCCGAGCCCGACCTTGTGCCATTCCCTTTGGAGGGGTTCGGAAGCGCCGAATCGGAACGGTGCAATCTTGGACCTTGGTTTTTTTTGGACACGACTCTGGTGCCCACGCCAGCTGGGGCGCCGGAGTGGTTCCCGTTCTAAGCCCCTTTTTTAAATGTTGTTCCCATTCTAGGGTTAAATACCCCAGGCCCCATCTGTGCTCCGAGCCCGACCTTGTGCCATTCCCTTTGGAGGGGTTCGGAAGCGCCGAATCGGAACGGTGCAATCTTGGACCTTGGTTTTTTTTGGACACGACTCTGGTGCCCACGCCAGCTGGGGCGCCGGAGTGGAAATCGCGCTTGTGCCAGTCCAGTTCTTTCCCCCGGCTCGGTGCAAATCCATTGCGATTTGGCCAGGAGCAGCCTCCGCGGAGCAGGCGTCGCGTTCAGGCTGTCTCTCCTTTTTCCGGCCTGCTGGTGGGAGCAGATGGCTCCCTTTGGAGGGTTGGGGGGAGGACCTACTGAAGAAAAACCCGGGAAATTCCCTGTGCACTCGCACAAGATAAAAAAGATCTGCGGAGAAGCCAGGAAGCTTTCACAGTCCAAGGCTCAGAAGCAGAGGCAGGAATACTTCCTTTCTGTCCATACAGATCGGGGTGGGGAAGTCGGGGAGTGGGCCGCATGCTCCCCACCCCTGACATAGCTAGTAAGCTGCTAGGGTCGGGTTCTGCCTCTTGGTTTGTGCCGATTTGGGACAACGGGGCCCCGATCTCAGGGATTCTATGCCTGGGCAGCACCTGGCATGATGGGTCCTGATATTGGGGCGACTGTCTGGGCAGCGCCCGGTGCAATGGGGCACCAGTCTCCGCCCCTTTGTGGCTACAGCCCCCAGCACATCTGAGGCTCCTAATTTCAGTGAGAGCCTCTAGTCGCTTCTTAAATGTATAAAACAAATAATTGTGAGTCGAGGTGATTTTAATGATCATCATTAGGTTCCAGAGTAAACACCCACCCAATATTGATAGGGGCAACTCACAGTCTAAGAGCTGTTATCAAAGGCTCTCTGCATATAGAGTGTCACCATCACATGCGACGGCACCCCACCTTTACCCTTCCATGGGCTCGAGGCGTAATTCAGCTAATTTATGCACCCCCCCCCCTTTCCCAGTTCCCTACAGCTCTGAGCGAAAGGCACCTACCTTTGTCTAGTTCCCAGGACTCAAGGCCTAATCCTCTTTGGGTTTGTGGGGCCTTTTCCCAGTGCAAAAGCCTGACCCCGAAATCCCCTTAACCTTAACACTCCCCAACACAGAAGGCCTGAGCTAAGTGTAAAATACTCCCCCCTCCCACTAAGGCAGGTGGATTTTTCCCAGTGGCCAGCCCAAGCTGAGGTCAGTTGTCAGGATGCTGAGGTTTGGCTGCGTTGATCTTGGGCTGTGGGGAGGAGTTATTTTCCAAAGAACTTCCCTTTCGACCGCACTTTTTATAGGGAAACTTGAGTCCCCTGCGTTGCAGTCCTTGACCAATTGTTTGAAATGCATCCTGCAAAATTAGTTATTCAACAGAGAGGGACAATTGAAGAGCTTGCCAGAGACCATCCAGATGAAAACTGGAGATGTAAAAACAACAAGGCGTTCAGCGGCACCGTGGAAACTAACAGATTTATAAACTTTCGTGGGTAAAACCCACTTCATCAGATGTAATGGAGTGAAAGTTACAGAGGCAGGGGTGTGGATATACACACTGAAGAAGTTACTTATCAAGTGTAGGACCAGTGTTAATGAGGCTAATGAGCAGCGGATGTGGAGATGTAAATACCAAGTGAGCGGAAATTGCCTTTGTAGTGTGTTAACCAGTTTCAATCTTCATTCAGGTCTAATTTGATTGTCTCGAATTTATAAACGAATTAGAGTTTCGCTGTTTCCCTCTGCAATCGGATTTTGAAGTTTGGGGTTTTTTTTGGTAGAAGGATGGCTACTTTTAAAGGCATTATTGAATGTCCCGGAAGGTTGAAGCGTTCCCCTACAGCAGGGGTGGCCAACCAGAGGCTCATGAGCCGCATGCGGCTCGCGAAGAAAAATAATTGCGGCTCCTGATGGAACCGGGACGGAACCCAGAACCGCTCAGGTCAGCTGCTCTCACGGCCGGGCCGCTGTGAGCCACATGCATGCTCATGGCCCATGCCATTCTGCTCACAGTCCCCAGCTCACACAGCATCCAGCCTGCACGTGCTAGCAGCTGGCCACTGAGCACAGGCAGCTGCTTTAGGACCCGGACATAAGGCGGGGGGAGAAAAGGGGTTGGGGGAGACCAGAGAGGGGAG